ATAGTTCTGGTTTTTGCTCTGGAGCCATGTTTATTTTTCAGTGTTATTATCCTCCTTGAGATGAAGTCTTTGTATACATCCATTGTATACATTCAGGGCTAAGAATGGAGATGTCAGCAACTACAGGGTATGCCTGAACCTCTTCCAAACACTCTAAGACTCTAAGCCAGCGGTCCTCAGCCTTTTTGGCACCAGGGTCCAGTTTCGTGGAAGACAGTTTTTCCACAGATGGCGGGGGGGTGGTATGGTTTCAGGATGATTCAAGCACATTACATTTATTGTGCACTTTATTTCTATTATTATTACATTCTAATATATAATGAAAAAATTATACAACTCACCAGGAGGCAGAGCTCAGGCGGTAATGCGAGCGATGGGAAGCGGCTGTAAATACAGGTGAAGCTTTGCTCACTCACCCACCACTCACCTCCTGCTGTGCGGCCCGCTTCCTAACAGGCCACGGACCGATATCGGTCCGTGGCCCAGGGGTTGGGGACCCCTGCTTTAAGCCACTCTGGCTTCATGACATGGATATTTTGTAACGTTTGAAACCCTGAGGCCATTAATTCTGTCCCTGCCTCTCATCCCTGGCATTCTCAGGCACTGTCTCCTTGGTCACTTCTTATCTTGCACTTCATACCTGTCAGATTGTTGTCAAATACCTAATGCCCAGATATTAGTCTCTTTTGAGAAGCTTCCCTCCATTTCCTTGCCTTATCTAAACCTGAATTTTTCCCTGAAGATAATTCAGCCCTCTTGCAATACTGTACGCTCTTTAACTTCCCCCAAGTTCTTTATTGTTCTAAAATGTGCCCTCATACCCATCCTTATTTACAAATAAAGTATCGCTCAGATGTCCTCTCTGAGAAGTACTGCTTTCCCTCGGCTGACGTGGTGCTTTTTCCTTTGTCTACATTGCAACTTCAATACACCACCAACATACAACATTTAATACAGTGCATTCCAACAACGCATCATTCAATATAGTCCAACATAACAACATTCGATACTGTACATCCCAATAGTGCAAATTCAGTACAGTCCAACATGTAACATTCAATACCGTACAGTCCGACAATGCAGCATTCAATACCATGCATTCCAACTGTGCAACTTTAATGCAATCCACTATACAACATTCAATACAATATGCAACTTCAGTACAGTCTAACATACAACAGTGTATTAGAGTTGTTGGTTTATCCAGTTCCTCACAAAACTGGAAGCATCTTGAGAACAAAGACTGTGTCTTTTAAATCTGTATGCCCTTAGTATCTGGCATGGAGGGGACTGTAAATAAATATTGAAAAAACTAATAGAAAGAGGGCATTTATTTCTAAATTTGAGTGTACCTAACAATGTCTAGCATACATATGTACCTAACAACGTAGATATATGCAATTTTTAATACATTTTAATTTTATATATTTATATATCTTAATTTTAAAATATTTTATATATTATATATAGCCATGATATATATCTACAAGTAACAAAAACTTACAGAACTGAAAAAAGGAATTGACAAATGCACCATTAGTGCAAATTATTTTAACGTAAGTATTTGAATAGTTGATAGATCAGGCAGATAAAACTTTGGCAGGGATAAAGAAGATTTGATTCTGACAGTTATGTAGCTTTCTCTGTTGGAAAGAGGGCCCTATACCCAACAATTGCTTATATAAAAATTCTTCTCAATTTTATTTGGAAATTTTATTAAAATTGATCACATACTAGACTAAAAAGCTAGCCTCATCAATGTCAAAAATCATCATAAGCCAAATTAATCTAGGTGGCAAAAGAGAATCATAATAGAAAAAAATGTTCATCCTTTTTTTAAAAGATTTATTTATTATTTACTTATTTTATTTAATTTTGGCCGTGTCGGTTCTTAGTTGTGGCATGAGGCCTCTTCGTTGCGGCGTGTGGGCTTCCCTCTAGTCCTGGCGTGCAGGTTTTCTCTCTCTAGTTGTGGTGCACAGGCCCCAGGGCACATGGGCTCTGTAGTTGTGGCGCAAGGGTTCCAGAGCGCGTGGGCTCTATAGTTTGCAGCACGCAGGCTCCCTGAGGCGTCCGCTCTCAGTAGTCGTGGCGCGCGTGCTGTGTGCTTAGTTGCCCCGCGGCACGTGGGATCTTAGTTCCCTAACCAGGAATCGAACCAGCGTCCCTTGGATTGTAAGGCGGATTCTTTACCACTGGACCACCAGGGAAGTCCCCAAATTTTTATACTTAAAATGCATTGAAAAGACATGCACACAATACTGGTGGACTGCAGCTAAAGTGGTACCCAAAGGCAATTGTACAGCCTTCACTATCCTTTATTAGGATAAAGGTCTGAAAATTAGTTAGATAGCTAATTTTATATATTTGAAAAAGAACAAAAGAATAAACGTAAGGAAAAAAGAAGAACATGCCATTATAATTATAGACAAATCCTTCCAGAGAGAAAGAATACACCATGGCTCATTTTAGGAGGTGAGTTTATCCAGACAAATACATTATGAGAAAGGAAATTTATAGTCCATTTTCATGTATGAATATGAATTTTTAAAAACTTAACATATTAGGAAACCAAATCCAACAGTGTCTTTAAAAAAGCATAAAAATATCATAACCAAAGATGGATTTATTCTTGGATTGCAGGTAAGTCCAATTATAAAGAAGGCAATTTTCAAATTAATCTGTAAGTTAAATGCAATTCCCATCAAAATCTCAAAGGTGTTTTTTTAAAAATAGAACTTGACAAGCTGATTAAAGTTTGATAAATATGAGTAAAGAGCCAAGAGTAATCAGAAAACAATTTTGAAAAAGAACAAGGTGGTGGTGGTGGGGACTTGCCTATTAAATATTAAGACTTACTGTAAAGTCTATTTAGATCTTATTGTAGAGTAACAATAGTTAAGACAGTGTGCTTTAAGCACAGTCATAAATAAATAGACCGATATACAATATAGCAGACTAGAAAACATATAAACTGAGCTGCCTGTGTACAGCAAATGTTGTAGATCAGTAGGGAAAAGGAGAGGCTGTTTCATAAATGGTGCTTGAACAATAGGTTATCAAAATAGGGGGGAAAGTGGATTCCTTCTTCACAATAAGTAGGAAGACCTAACATAAATATAAATTCCAGGTAGGTTATAGAGACTTAAATGTGAAAAAGCAAAATTTTTAAATTTTACAAGAAAGTAGAGAATGTATTTATAAGCCTGTGGTAGGAAAAGATTTCTAAAATAAGACATGCAGCACAAATCACTAAGAAAAAGATTGAGAAATGGAACTACCTTTAAAACATGTTTATCAAGTAATAGCATTAAAACATGAAAAAGCAATTCACATGGTGGGAGACAATGTCTGCTATGCATGTAGAATATATAAGAAGAAGAAAATTGCACAGTTATTAAGTACAAATCACAGAATAGGAAACCCGGCCAATAACCATATGAGAAGCTGCTCCAACCCACTGTTAACAATCAGGGAAATGCAAATAAAAATCAGATGAGATGCATTTCAGCCCTCTGATTGGCAAAAATAAAATGCTGATGACTACAAAGTGATGGTAACTATTTGACAAGAGATCATTCATTTACTTCTGGTGTACTCTCCAGTTTGGAGAAGAATTTGATAATGTCTAGTCACATTGAAGGTGTACATATTTTATGACGCATCAATGCACTCTTAGCAATGTCTTCAAAATTCTGATGGAGGGGGAAAGGTACAATAAATACATTTTCAAAAAATGTTTAGAAATTTGCCTCTGATGCGTCCTTTCCCAGGAACCTATTAGAGGATGGGCTTCAGCAAAATACAGGAGTGAAATAAGGTAAAGACATAGAATCCAGGAAATGAGTTCAATACAGGAGGGTCAAAAAAAATTTCTAAATGATGTCAAATGGAAGTCACAAAACACCTGAACAAAAGGCCTAGAAAGCAACGTCAGATTTGAGCAGATGTGTGGAATATTCCAGGCAGGAAAATGGAAGTGACAAGTCGTCCAATACATTTGACCCTGTGGATATTTCTATTGAGAGTCATTTTATATAGGTATCAAAGATTGGGAGAAAACATAACCACTGAGAGAGGTCTTTATTTCATTCTCAGCTGTATTCACAGCATCCCAGTGTCTAGCACATAGTAGGCATTCAGAAATGTTTGTTACATGAATGAAGCATGTCCTTGAAGGTAGCAGGAAT